GTTTAGGGTTTAGGGTGGCTAGAGCTTTGGGCCCGTCCTGAGCATTCCTGGCCTGGGAGCGGGAGCTGCCACTTTGTCACAGAGAGTGGCTATACGGGTCATGTTTTAAATTAGGTTTAGGGTTTAGGGTTTAGATATTTGGGAAGTTCTCTAAATTAGGGTCCCTTTTGGGTTCTTTTTATAAGGGTGCCGCACTATATTGGGGAGCCAGAACGGGACCGTAATTTAGAGAACGGCCCATGCAGCTCAAGCTTTATCATCCGGTCAATCCAGGGGGGATGGGCCTTGCTGAAGCTGAAGATTCCTTTTTGCTTGGGGATTGACCCAGGTGTTGAGGAACCAGATGGGTAGTTGTCAAAATTATGGTCCCTTTTGGGGTACCCTAAATAATAGGTGCCGTACTATAATAAGGACCCAAAAAGGGACCATAATTTTGACAAACACCCAGATAACACACTTGCATGCTTGCTGGTGTTCAGCCCTTTCCTGCGTGATCAGCGTGGCGAAAGTGCGGAAGACCGTCGTTGGCCAGAGGTGGTCTGCCGTCACCTGCGCAGTGCAGCACGAAACTAACAGTCTCCAACCCCACAACCCTAACCTCAAACCCTAAGCCCCAACCACCCGAAACGAACCCAAACTCCAAACCCTAAGAGCTAAACCCCAAACCCGAGACAGCACACCCCAAACCCGGACCCCCAAACCCGATTTCCCCAACACCGAAACCAAACTTTCCTGTCGACACTGCTCCAAATCGAAGACAAAGGTCAAAAACCGAAGTTACCGAGGCGGTTATTTCAGACATCTTCAAGGTTTTTTGGGCACTGGGCCCTGCGTTATGCCTCCCCCTTGGTCGTTTGGGTTTAGGGTTCGGGTTTGAGGTAGGGGAAAAGCAACTCCAAACCCAGTAGCCCACCCCATAAAACAGAAAGATTGTGGGGAAATACACCTACATTTTCTGACCCACCTACAAAAAAGCACCACACCCCGAATGGATGCAGCCAAAAAGGACATGCGACCCTGCCGGAAAAGCGGCCAGAAATCATTACTCTTAGCCCCCCCCAAAAAAACTAAACCCCTAAACCCCCAAATCCTAAATCCCAAACCCCTAAACCCTAAACCCCTAAACCTTAAATCCCCTAAACCACCTAAACGCTGAGTTGACGAACCGAGCCTGCACGGTGTACATCGCGTGGGTCAGCGCACCAAAGCAGACGACGGTGAAGGCCAAGGCAGGCAGAAGGCCCATCCTCGAGTCTTTGGAATTGGTTAATTGAAATTCTTCGGTTTTTTACAGGTTTTTAAGGTTTAGGGTTTAGGGCTTAGGGTTTGGGGTTTGGGGTTTGGGGTCGAGGGTTTAGGGCTTAGAGTTAAGGTTCTATAACGGATTTATGATGGTATTCATTACAAGCTTCTTATAAGGAATTTCTGGAGCATCCTAAACGGGTGTTATGAGAGCATCCTGCAAGTGTTCCCCATTGTAGGGCTTCGGGTTGAGTCTTAGAGTTTTTTGCGATTTGCATCGTGGCTTTAAATTTAGGTTCCATCGACAAACCGCAAACCCTAAACCCTAAACCCAAAACCCAAAACAGGCGAAGCTAGAGGCTTCACGTTGCATGCACAGCGTCAAGAGCTTCTGCAAAGGCAAGAGTGCACAGCCGATCCACTCACTCAAGATGACGCTCTCCAAGAGGCGCATCCAGTAGATCCTTCGGGAAAGCACGGTTTAGAGTTCAGAGTTTAGGGTTGCAACTTCATCGCAATTGATATTGCCATGGGAACGAAATATGTCCCCGCTATGGCAAGTGAAATGATGTGGCATAAGTGGCATCCTCGATTATTTACGCCCCTATACTGGGGCATTTGGAGCAAGATGTGAAGGCTCAGTGTTCTTTGCCACCCTGACCAAAAGCGGATTCCAATATGCAGTCTTGGCATCAGCACGACCAAAAGATGTAGCCAGCGCTCGGAGTGGAAGGCCAGCAAGGCTATGGGGATGATGCTGCGCAGGAGGTCCCAGGCGTTGCCAATGTTAAAGTAGCCTCCAGGCCCCCAAACCCTAAACCCTAAAGGCCCTTAAACCCTAAACCCCAAAGCCTAAACCCGAAAGGCCTCGGAGTTCTCCAGTGCGGATTCGGCCAAAGACTTCGGCAACTTCGAGGCAGAGGTCCACGAAGCCTTTTGCAATCATCCAGTCGGCGACAACACCATCTCCTGGGGTTCTTATGAATCCGGTTTAGGGTTTAGGGTTT